ATTTTTAGGGTCGACCTTTTCTAACCCCACCCCTCCTTGTGGGAAGGCAGCATCGCTGTCATGCTGGTTGTCTGAAGGAAACACCTTACTGCTGTCACACCTCTGTACAGTCAGCAGTACGACTTCGCCTTCGGACCTTGGGTTTGTTGCTTTTAGTCTTACCGCTCTTCAACCGACCTGTCTGACATGGTAGGACCTTGAGGAACGGTTGTTCCAGCCAGTATAGCTCGGTTGCTTCATCACGATAGGCAAGCCCGACCACCACGTCAAGGTAGCAACAACGGTCGGGAGGGTCATCTTCGGATACTAATTTCCGTGAGGTTCATGCTGGGGACGAAACCTGGTTAAAAGGAAGTACGTATTTAGTCTGCTGGTGATATGAAACCACATGACAAAAGTCACGTTGTGCTACCATTTGTTAGCAGGCCGCAACTCCAGGACCAGTGCCTTACAGAATTTTTCATTCGGTGGGTAGAACACTGAAGAACTCTTAAACAGACCAGCCCCACTGAATCCACCGCACATAAAAGCATTACACATATACCTTCCTATAGCTGTCACTTCACTAACGATCGAAGAAATCAGTATGGCCACTAGACAAATCAAGAGTGGAAAGACGGTATCTGACAATACACAAGCTCAAGCACTGAAATCAGACATAAAAGCAACTGCAAACACGCCCTTTTCAGGAAGATTCGGAAGGAACAAGTGCCGACAAACTGGAAAGAAGGACACCTTATCAAGATACAAAGAAAGGAGATCTCAGAAACTGTGAAATTTGCAGAGGCATTACACTATTATCAGCACCAGGGAGAGTTTTCAACAGTGTTGCTGAACGGGATGAAAGATTCGAGATCAACAGGCCGGATTCCGTAAGGATCAGTCATACACAGACCATACTGTGACATTACGGATCATTGTTGATCAATTGACTGCATGGAATTTGTCACTATACATCAACTTCCTTGACTATGAGAATGCGTTTGACAGCGTGGATAGGATATTATGAAGTCTTCTTTGACACTATGGTGTACCTGAAAAGGTCATCAACATCATTTGGGATCCACATGATGGACTACACTGGAAATTTGTGGGTGGGGGGCAGCTGACAGACGCTTTCCAAGTGGAGGCCGTTGTCAGACAAAAATACTTTCTCTCCCTTTCTTCTGGTAGTTGACTGGATTATGAAAGCCTCCACATGTCAGGGGAAGCACGAAATCCGATGTACAGCTTGCGTGCACCTAGATGATTTGGACTTTTCAGATGACCCAGCCCTTTTACCCCACACACGCGAACAAATACAGGTCAAGATGAGTTACGCATCTCAGTCAAGCCAGTTCACTTACTGATTTTCCTGATTGATTAACTGTTAGTTCAATTCACTGAAGTTTGGGTCGTGTAGTAAGAAGACAAAAATTATCAGAACTATGTGATATATTGGCGCAATACATTTTGGACAATCTGACCAAACATATATTTCTTAAGAACATTTATATACAAAAATGAAATGTCGACTAGACAAGTGGAGGGTAAGAGGAAACAAATATAGTAAGAAAATAATGTTAAGAACAATATGAGACTCACCGCGCTGTATAATAAACTAGTATTAACAAGGTAGGTTTAGGGTTAAAATAAAGGTAGTTGACCTATTATGTCTGTGTATAAATGTTCTTAACAAGTATGTGTGGTGATAAATCAGTCTTGCTATAAATCACCTCAACCTCGGAATAAAAATTAGTGGCAAATCTATTTGTAGTTTTCTATGTTGTTCGGAAACAGCGGTCTCCTTTCATAAGAAATCATAATTTCAAGATTGTTGTCTTATTTGGATTCTATCTCTTACTATCCTCACCTATTGGTGTTATCATGTGGTTCTCTTAAGGAAGCACTGCACTTGATGCTACACAGATAGATAAATTGGATCAATGACTCATTTTTCAGATATTACTTTTTGCCACAACGAATAGTAGTATCTTAGACTATCAAACAGGTCCTAATTTGTTTGTATCTTAAATTCAAAGTAATCATGTAGTATAGCTGGTTGTTACTGCATTTCTCGAAATCTTTACATATGTAATAGATTTTAAAGTAACTTTTATAGGCATGTTTTAATTGAAATCAAGAAGTGTGATGAGAAACAATCTAACATGAATATAGAGTGATTTCTCCAGACAATCGTTAAGTACTAATTTGTTTCTTACCTGCAGGAAAAAGGTTTCAGTACACCTACTATGATCAAAGTAAAGGAGCAATCTGGCAATCCATACAAGCACTTGATGAAACGGTAAGTTACCTATCTTTTAAGATTGTATGAGTAAATTAATGACTTAACGTTGTCGGTAACAACGTCAAGTAATAACAGTTGGGTAGATTCATGCAAGTAACGTTCACTAAATCAATCTTCATCCACCCTATTCTTTAGGCCAGTTTCTCGTTATGTGCATTTACAAAACGCGAAATATGGCATCAGACACCTTTTTCGATCTCTACTTACATATCCAGTTATATGCAACGTCCGGTCATTGCAGTCCGCATACTGAAGTTTGAAAGGGGGTTATCTAGACACGCGATTATTTGGTATCACGATACAAACGACACCATTAAACTAACTAATTTCTCTTTAAATTAGAGGTGGTATTGGAAAAGTAGATTTTGCTTTACTTTACAGGGAACTACTACATGTATTTTCTTACCATTACTTAATAATTGGATTATGTTTTCGTATTCTGTATTCTAAGCTTCTGATAGATTCAAGTTGTTATTATTATTCCTCTCTTTTTTCAAGTTGGTAAACTATGATTTTCTATCTATAGTTTTTTTGCATCTACTAATGCGTGTATGTAAACTGATGATTGGTTTACATATGGTAGAGGGTTGTCTGCTTATTGTGTTCTACGGATTCAATAATAGGAAATTGTGCTTCTTAGGCCAACAGGCGTTAAGAATTATCTAAGTCACTACTCAAGGTTAATTGTTGACAGTCAGTATTATTGGTTAAACCTTATCTTTGATCTATGAGCGAAAAGTATACTCGGTCTCCCGAATAGTAAACCGGCTTACATTGTTGGATTCGTGTCTAGTGATTCTGGTCAAGAGCAATCAAGGATGCAACACTTCACCGTACCACTAGCAGGAAAAAAGCATTCACACCGTCCCAATCACATTGGCAGATCCAGGTTTAAAATCCTTGTCCAAAAGTATGTATAACATCAATAGATTGCCATTAATTATATGATAGAGTCAGAGGTTGTGGTTGGCACAAATGATTCGGCTTTACTCTGAGAAGACCTTAGCTACATGATAATTTTCATTGCTATCCAAAACTAATATCTAGACTTCTTTTTGTTTTACTGTCGAAGCACAATTTGCTACCGTTGCCAACAATATGACTCCCATAGACCCTTTAGTTTTCTACTGTCCTTCAAAACACTAACAAATTCGGCTCATTTAGTGTTACCTGGAATGATAATAATCTAGTCATTCTGTAGTTATCTGAAGACATTTCTGCCATAGAGATGCTGTGTGGTCTCGTTGATACATAGACCTCCAACCTAAAAATCATCTAACAATGCAAATCATTTTTCTATCCAACACATCTGTCGTAGGCAAGATGATAGTTTGTAAATGACTCATCATAATACGCAAATCAATACCTGGCACGTTTGTATATTGATCCAACTTGTCACCCCCCTTCATTGGCATAGCGAGATAAAATTGTCAGGACGAATTCCAGAGTAACAGATATAGCAAGTATGAGTGGTTATAAGAAAGATTAAGGGTTGAAGATACGATACGTGAATAAATATGGGCCAGTGGAATAAAAAGATTTATCAGGTAATTTAGAAACTTGAAATCTAAGGAAAGACAGTGAACGGATTGTGTACCATTGTCAATAATTTTGAATCCCTAACCACAAGTTACGATAATCACGCGGACCCCAACCGGGCAGTCTACACCTACTTACACTAGTCAGTGTACTGATGACATGTCTTGGTCCTTAGATTTCTTTGAACCTACTTCTACCCGGCTATCATCGCAAGTCGGGGCAATCAATGGGTAGGTGTACGTAATAGTTGTTCTGTCTCGCTCAATAGAGATTCACTTTACCATTCTTACCTGGTATTTTCAAAATTGCTAATTCGATGGTTCCAAAATATAAGATTGATGCCTCGAATACACCTATGATTAAATACTGAAAAACCTTCAGATATCCTCTGCTTTTAAAGGTCACTTTCCTCAGCCATAAAGTAGCGCAGAGCGAACTACCATACAGTACACCCGCTTTTTGGTTGACAGACAAATAACTCGTCTGTGCGAGAAGTGACGCAAGCTGGCAAACGCCAGTTCATTAAATTTAAACTGATTCAGTGCGTTGATTCTTCCATTTTGGTGGAGTTCTAGATGGTTCGCTTCCTGATGAACTGTGACTGAGAAAGCAGAAGCCCATATGGTATGCACCATCCTTACACAGGTGATAGTGTCAATAAGACACTCCGATTTCTACTAAAAACGAGCGAATTGCACGGCAGTTTGTCTGTTGCGTTATCTAAGAACTAACTTCAAGATGTGTATTTTTAAGAGTAATTAAATGCATTATTTTTTGTGGCTCTCGATCCTTTAAACTTTCAGGGAATGGAGTTAATTGAGCGACTTGCTCCTTCTGAATTTACAAGTTACTTGGAGCAATATGGTAACACCATATGCGGACGACACCCGATAGGAGTATTACTGCAAATCGTTACGTATTTACGCAGGAATATGCCCAATAACAATTTTAACATGAAGTTTGTACGATATGCCCAATCAGAACACTGTAATAATATGAACCAATCATCTGTCAGTTATGCAGCTGGTGTGCTACAAATATCTTGATATAAGTAACTTTTCCTGCAAATTATAATATGTGTATCGATGTTTACATTAAAGTAAAAATCGCTTTAGGGACTGTTAATTTTACTTCAATATATAACAAACTTTTTCTTACGGATCGTTTTATATATTTACTCACGACTGACTAGAGCACATGCAGTGTAACTCACTGATGAATCTTCCATTGACTGGCAGCGGTTGGATTGTGTATAGTTTAGGATTTTAAGTTCCAGGTTAAACGGTTGCTTCTGTCGAATACAGTCAATCATAAATAAGAACACGCCTATACTTCTCCTGCCACATATAGTGTTCCTGTACTCTTCAAGATATTTTATGAATGATTTCGGTTTCAGGCTTCGAATCGCATTCAAACCCTGTGAAATATAACATTAGATTTAATTATAGTTGAGAGGGATACAATGTGAAAATAAAAATACTGCAGCCACTTACAAGGTGATCGAGTTTCTCAATAGACTGCCATATCGCACCATCGGATTTATTGTAATACTGATATCGAAATCGTTTCCCTGGAAATAAAGCATACGAGTGATTAGTTTACTGACTGTGGGTATCATTATGAATCATACTAATCATCACTGAGAGTGAATTTTGTGACTTGTTGTTTGACTTTGACCATGCGTATATATTCCTGACAATAAGCGCGTAAAACGAGCACTTATGATGTCCTCGTATATTTATTTAAAAGATTCTAGCATAAAATGTACATTTAAACAAGGCTAGATAATTACCGAAGTATTATAAATACTGCTTGGAAAAGTGTTTAGACGGCCAAAGAATTTCGTAACCAAGGTTAACATGAATCATTAACGATTATTTAGAACAATGGACGAAACTACGTAAAGGAATATCGCAAGTTACCATCACTCTCAGCCAAATTAACCATTATGTATACTGCTTCAAATAAACACAAAAATATTGCGTGGAAAATGTAACAAACCCCAATGACAGAAATCAGAAGATATCACAAAGAGATTCTTCTCATCTAGCATATAGCTCGATAGGAGGTTCCGAAGAATTCTTGTTTTTCGAATGATAAACAACCGACAACTATGGGGACTATGGAGTACTGATCTTTCCTACTTCAAAGCAAGAGTAAAAGTAGACATTATTTGTATTAAACTCCAAGATGTTGGTAAAGAAATGCGAATCACATCAAGGTACTTACCAAACTGTAATCTGGACACGATAACATGTCTCATAACCATTGGTTTCAGTGTTAAACTAGGATGTCACCGATTATCACAAATAATTGTCACACTGATTTGACTATTTAGTATTAGAATGTAGGAAAGCGCACTGTCACCAAAACACTGCGTATTTCCTACTAGTATGATTAATTTCTAAGTTTACAGGATATTATGTCTGCTGTCACTAAGTCGTTTACGGCCTAATATTTCTGCGTACCACCTGGGCGGTTTCGAAATCAAAATATTTCTATAGAAACGCAAAAGCGGAAAGCTTAGTTAACCAGTTATGCCGTCTAAAAGTGACTATCACTTATAAAAGAAACTCACTGAATACAAATCAATACAACGAAGATACATCGAAAATGAAATAACGAACTTCCTACTGAATAAAATTGGGTGGGAGAAGTTTGCTTTCAACCAATTTATGAGTTTTAGGACTGATTATCTCATACTAAAAGTATTTGCGGATTTCGTATCCCCAACGCAAAATGAAGGAATATCCGTGAATACGAATGTGGACTTCAGGAGTGTTTCTTGTACAAATTACAGAGGATCTACTACTTGACGTATCCGTTGTGGGCAAGTTTCATATAAACCACATGGATAAGGGCTTGGTATGTCTTACGATCTCGCTAATTTGTTAAAGGTATTTAAGTCATATTAATAGTCTAGAAAATCACCACACGGGAAAGCTTACCGTTTCATGATGTGAGCAATATACGGTAACTGCATTTCTACAGAATGTTCAGCTTCGTCCTGACTCTTTTCGAGAACGCTGAAGCAGCTGAACTTTTTAAGGCTGTTGTATACTGAAAATGGTATTAAATTAACTCCGCTTACCATTGGTATTAATCTTTAAGTTATAAAACGGAGTTTCATATTCAGATACAGAAGTCAGAGCACATGTATTCCCAATATCTAAACGATGTGAGGGACCTATGATAAAAATGCATTCTCTTTGAAGAAACATTTAACTAAAGCACCACTTACATTTTGTCAGGATTTATTAGACGGTATGCGTGGGCCGCACATAAACCAGAATGTCGGTAACCTGCATGACTTGATACTTTTATTAGTAAGAATAATATCTTACGGTACTATAATTGCCCGGACTGAATTTGCATTTGGGACGTTCTTTCCACAACTTTCCAACCAAGTGTTTAACTGTGATGACAACTCTGTTCCTAATTATGATTAGTAATTGTCTTGCTAATAGTCGCTCAACTGTCTGCAGTATACCAGCTTCCAGCGTGTGAACTAACCCGGACGGAACTGAGAATCGTCTCCATCCAGTGCAAATTGTTCATAAACTTCAAATACTATTTCGTATTGACGTACTTAAGCCTGAAGCATTAAAGATTCCGTAAAAAGTAGCAAAAACCAAAGGTTGGGTGGAAAAATGGGAAACCGGTTGTTATATCAGGAGAAAAACCGACCAGTACAATTCACAATGCTTGATGATGAGATGCGCACTAGTTAGGTGAGCTGATGACAAACATTTGTAAGGTCAGTACGTTAGTGAAAAAAACATGCAGTACTACGCATCATCCATGGATCATAGGAACAGTTACTATTTGTATCGCGCTTGGTAGCTACATGAAATTTACAGACACGTGCTAACTGTACTGTCGTCAGTAATGAGAGTACACTTTGGCGGCCGACCTCGTCTTTGTAAGCCTGCCGTAGCCACCTCTGAGTCTTCAGTAGCATGAACGATTTTGTAAAAGGAGAAAAGTTGTTAATTTTTCCTGCCTTAGTAGCACGCACTATAAAAGCCTGTCTAACTGTATCTCGACGTATATTACACTACTTCATACCTTCTCCACATAATTCTTATTCTTACTAAGGGTTAGTTGTCTTACTCACTTATTGGCGTCCACTCACAACCATTAATGTTGAATTCAAGTGGTAGCTTCCGGCATTGGTCTTGTTTAGCTATCAATCCTGTAGTGTCTTCCACTCACTCAATTTTATTTACATCCTTGCTATACTAAGCTGATGTATGTTCAAAAGAACTTTCAGCTAGACTCATATGTGCACTATTATAATAGTATCCTTAAAAGGATACAAGTTGTAAGGAACTCATGAATGCACAACGAAATTATCAGAGGTTCCACCACATATGACTTTGTCTTAACACACGATGATAATGTCAGTTAAACAAAATTCTTCACACCTACGGAGAGAGGTGACCAATGTCTCATTCAAATCCTTGGCACAGAAAAAACGGTAGACTCCATCAGATCTGGCCGCCGTTTCGTTCCAACGACCTTGAACAGTCGGACAAAAGGCGGTCATTCCGTATTTCAAATGCCGTAGATTTGTTGGGTTGTACGAGTATCAAGTTTTTCCATATTTAAGTAATCTTTTGCCGCATTAAAAAGCACTAAATAACTGCCAAAAGCAATGATTTAGCGTTCTCTGTTTCGTAGTGTACACGTCGACTATGTTGTTGCTCCATAACTTGATCTGTGATCTCAATTGCTGCAGTAAACTGCAACGACATGTCGTCACGGGTAAATCTTACATACTTGCTGAGATGCAAAACCAATACGCACTCTCTAATGAAACCTTGAATTCAATATATAGGGCTCTAAATTTCCAATACCATTGAGGCTTATCGAGATTTACACCTTTCGCGCTTCTGTTTTGACCTCATGAGCATATTTCTGACACCCTGTACTGTTTATCATATCGGCACATCATCTCTGTTGAGAAAATCTAGGCAGATAAGTGAATAGCTATTCACATAACCAAAACTAGGTTTGCTAAATAATATGAAGGATTTAACACCGGTTCCCAGGGTTTCATATACGAGTTAGAATCAATTAGTATATTTATAAAACAGGAAACAACACCTTTATAGTCGAAGGATACCAACCCAGTCAAATCAGAAGTCAGTGTAGCGGTAAATAAATCCCCAAAATAAATAGCTCTGTAAGTTTTCGACATTGGATGCTGACCATATGTTTTAGTGGACTCATCTAGCTGAAGGCGCTCGGTCAGGCATCCGCACCAGATCACGTGTGGTAACGCCGTGCTCAACATCAACCGCAATCGCTAGCCAGATTAGATCAGAGAATTCCGATATATTGGTCATCGCCAAATATACTCTTCCGATCTCCTCGACTCTGTCTTTTGATTTCTCTTGGTGGGAACGAAATATATTAGAAGGTGTTACTGGTAGAAGCGTTGTCAAACACTGAATACCTGTGACATCATCATTGGTGAGCCCAACGTGATCTGGTACACCTATTTGCAACTGTGAGTCTGTTCCTTTTTGGGATTTTTTTATATATCATTGCCTTATTTTTTTAAATTTTTTTTCGTGTTGTTTTTCTTGGATATATATATATATATATTTCCCCTCGTTCATTATCGTACTTCATATTTCATCATGACTGAACAGACACCTAAAGTACTCAAGCTTAAGACCTTGTCCCCACCTTCGTTTCAACTGATGCCTTTCTGGCCCGACAACATCGAAGCCTGGTTTTGCTACGCAGAAGCCGACTTCTCCGAGCACGGCGTGATCGACACACGTGCACAATTCCTCGCAGTAGTCAAGGCACTGCCGCGGGAATTCAACAGGTACGTAACACCTAGTATGTTTACTAGTGATGTTTCCGATCCTTACGAAATCTTAAAACGCTCGATTCTTAAACGAGGAGACCTAACCGATCGACAAAGGTTAGATCAACTCTTTAATAACATCGACCTGCAACACGGTTCTGCGACGGACATGTTGCAACGGATGAGAGAGGTTATAGGCCCAAGAACTTTCGACGAAGGTCTATTCAAACAACTCTTCTTGTCAAAACTTCCCCAACAGGTGCAAGCAGTTCTGGTCTCGTTCCAGAACAACGCCTTAGACGAACTAGCTGCATCTGCCGACCGCATTCTAGAAATTACGAAACCTTCTACTACCGAGGTATTTTCAGTCAAAGAAAAGCCTCACACGACTCAGAATGACATAACCGACTTATGTCACACACTCACGCGTTATCTTAGTCTTCGTACCGACCGTAAGAGATCGCGCACACCACGTAGAAGCATTTCTCGTAAGCGATCTGTCTCTAGACCACGAGAGACAGATAACCCCGACTGGTGCTGGTATCATAACCAGTATGGAAAGTTTTCCAGAAATTGCAGAAAACCCTGCAATTTTCCCAACACGAAACCGACTGACGAAAACAATTCGGGAAACTTCCAAGCCGGCACGCGTTAACGGCAACCGTAGCCGGCGAACAAAGCCGTCTGTTATTCGTCACAGATGTGACAACGAGAGTTCGCTACCTCGTCGACACTGGCGCAGAAGTTAGCGTTCTCCCAGCAAATCCTAACGACCGACTTCACGAATCGACCCTAAACTTACAGGCGGCAAACGGAAAACCGATCGCTACGTATGGCAAAAGGTACGTTTACCTTAACGTGGGTTTACGCAAACCCATCCACTGGATTTTCGTCGTTGCAGATGTTTCTATGCCAATCATTGGTATGGACCTTCTACAACACCACAATCTGATCATCGACACTCGCAAACGGAGGCTAGTAGACGGAAACACTAATTTGTCCGTTTGCGTAACTTCTTTTACTGGTTGTAGAGTATCCCCAGTCACAGTTAAACATATGATAGACCCACTCTATCAACCACTACTCGATAAGTACCCTGGGATACAACAAACGCAAACGAAACTACCGTGTGTAACCAGCAATGTTACACATCACATCACGACTACAGGACCACCTGTATTCTCTAAAGCACGACGACTAGCTCCTGAAAAGCTAAGGTTAGCGAAAAACGAATTCGATCACATGATGGACTTAGGAATCATACGACCGTCAAGTAGCCCATATGCATCTCCGTTGCACATGGTCCCTAAAAAGGACAGCAACGATTGGCGTCCAACTGGTGACTATCGGCGATTGAACGCGAAAACCATTCCCGATCGTTACCCGTTGCCTCACATTCACGATTTGACAGCTACCTTGAAAGGTACAACTGTCTTTTCGAAAATCGACTTGGTTAAAGCGTATAACCAAATCCCTATGGCTACTGACGACATACCGAAAACAGCTATCATAACTCCCTTCGGACTCTATGAATTTTTGCGAATGCCTTTCGGTCTAAGGAATGCTGCTCAAACATTCCAAAGATTCATAGACGACGTTTTTCGAGGTCTCAACTTCGTACACGCGTATGTTGACGACTGTCTAATCGCAAGTCCGGACAGAGAAACACATCTCAAGCATCTGGATCTTGTTTTCGAACGATTACAAAAACATGGCATTACTGTAAACGTTCAGAAATGCCAATTTGGAACCGACTCGTTAGACTTTCTGGGACACACTATCGATGCTCAAGGTATCCGACCCCTTAGAACCAAAGTGGCGGCCATTCTGGATTACCCAGAACCGACCACCGTCAAGCAATTACGCACGTTTAACGGCCTGGTAAGTTTCTATAGACGTTTCATACCGAATGCGCATTACTTATGAAACCTCTGACCGACCAACTTCGTGGAAATGCGAAATCCATTAATTTGGACGACACCGCACGAAAAGCATTCTCCACAGTTAAGGAACTGATCGCTAAAGCAACAATGCTCGCACATCAGGACACCCGAGCACCCATTAGCATCGCAGTAGACGCATCCGACTTGGCAATCGGAGGAGTCTTACAACAATGGGTTAACAACTCCTGGCAACCCTTGGTTGCTAGACACCGAATCGAGGTACAGCACATTCGGTAGGGAACTCCTAGCTATGTATTGTGCTGTACGGCATTTCCAACACTATATCGAAGGCCGTGAATTCACTCTTTTCACGGACCATAAACCGCTCACTTTCTCGTTAAGCTCTCCTTCTGACAAGTACTCTCCCCGTGAGTCTCGACAACTGGACTACATTTCGCAGTTTACTTCAGATATTCAACATATCTCTGGAGCAAACAATGTAGTTGCAGACGCCTTATCTCGCATAACTTCCTTGAACAGTTTCCAAGGAATCGACCTTCTTAAACTCGCCGAGCTTCAAAAAGAAGACACTGATCTTCAGCACGAGTTATCGTCCACAACCCTTAAACTACGCATCAAACAGATGGGAACAGGTAAGGAAACCTTACTTTGTGACACATCTACAGGTAGGGATCGCCCAATCGTGCCGAAACATTATCGACGCAATGTCTTCAATACATTGCACAAACTTTCTCATCCAGGTGTTCGTGCAACCATCAAGCTTATAGCAGAACGGTTTTGCTGGCCTGGCATGAATAAAGACGTGAGGGAGTGGGCACGCTCCTGTGTAA